AAAGCTTACCATCTGAACTCATTGTCAAGCGTAGATCTTAATATGACCTATGTGATATCTTGTGTGATATTTGCATCAACCATAGGGACTTTTCATTTGCTGCCAGTTCTCTGCTGTTATGGAAACATGTCCCTGCTTGGAAGTCAGAATCTGTGACATTGGTACATCACAAAAGTTAAGTTGTAGTCATTAAAGTTTTATATGATCAAGGGTATTTGCTAAAAAAATTAATCAACTATTGTAATATTTGAATTGTCTTCTTTTTTATTTCAAATCAAGTCTGAAAAATCACAAAATTCTCTGTCCAAGGTTTGACAACGGACGCATGCTTAAAAATTTATCCGAAAATTGATGAGCTTACATGGATATACTTGGTTCTTTTCCTTGTCTATTAATACCTTGGGAAATAGATTCATCGTGAGTTTGCTGAGATATGATGTATGTTTTACTTTCTTGACACTTTCTATAATATAAATTGCTTCAATGAAGATTTCAAGCTATGACTAAACTGTTGTAGTAATTACAGCTAAATTACTGGTCAACAATTAATTAATGGGGTGGTTTGTCCATTGTATTTTTTTCCCTCTACACCACCTACTTGATTTTACTTAATGATGTATATTTTTTTTCTTGATATCTTATCTAAACTACTACAACAGGAGCAATTAATTATTTGGGTTTAGTAACCTTGGTTTAGTGAAGTCTATGTGTTAGTCCAAACCCAAGGTTCACCTAATTCAAGCCAATCTGTCAAAAGAATATAAAATCTCGTGGAGTTTTCTTACTTTGACATCTCTGTATGAAAAACCGTTATAATTTCTGAACGAGACAAAGCAAGTTAAGAAATCAATGGGGTTGTAAATCAGCACAAGTCTTCCCTTGGAGCAAATTATTTCTTTTTTGTGACCTATCTGTTCAAACTTAGGCAGAAATAGTGAGTGTTTTGTTAAAGGTTTTTTTGCCCATCATTATTATTGTTGTTATTATGATAAATTATAAGAAACTTCCTTCATTTATTATTGTTATTAGGAATTTAGGATAAATTATAAGAAACTTCCCTCATTAACACCTTCTTCTGCAACAAGCCCTCTTATCAAAACAAAAAACACCATCTAATATCCCACAAGTGAATTGTCAGTTTCCTACCAAAGTTTTATTTTCATACGTCTGCACTTAAATAGAATTCTAGTTTTCCTTTTTTTTTTGGGTACTCTATCCAGAAAAAAAAATTCCTCTATTTTTTCTATTTAAATTCTCGTAATTTCTTATGTTCCTCTCTCAGATCTATCCTATAAATCAAAGTTTTTTTTAAGAAAAATGTTCAGTTGCAGTACTTTCGTGGAAAGAAAGGTCGAACATATAGTGTAAGGGGCTGTTTGTTTGCCTAAAAAAAGTGGGAAATCAAAGAATATGAAATCTTGTATTATGGTTGTTTTTGGTTGGCTAAAAAAAAGAATGAAATCAAAGAATAGGAGATGAGATGAGATGAGTTGTCACCATATTATTGGATGATGTGAGTGATTTTTTAAGAAAACTTGTTTTGAGATTGTTTGGTTGGTTAAAAAAATAAGTAAATGTATTATAAGAAACCTATTTCCTATAATAGTTTCTTTCTTGTGTTTGGTTCATTCTTAAAAATAAGAAAATAGATGAGATGAGATGAGTTGTTTGTATATTATTGGATGATGTGACTCACACTTAAGAAAATCAATTTCCTTGTTTTTTTTAGGAAATGAGAGGAAATTGGTGGAAATGAAATGTTAATGAGATGAAATGAGTTGTCACCATATTATTGGATGATGTGAGTGATTTTTAAATATGAGATGAGATGAGTTGGATGATGTGACCCATTTTTTGTGTTTGGTTTATTTTTAGGAGATGATATGAGATGAGTTGTTGGATGAAAATAATATTTTATTGGATAAAGTGGATGTGTTGTTAGATAAAAATAATATTTTATTGGATGTCGTGGTGAGTTTTAGGGATGGAAATGGAGAAAATTGATGTTTTTGAGATTTCCATAACCCAATTTCCTATTCTTGATTTTTAGGAAACCAACCAAACATAAATGAAAACTTGTTGCATGGTATCAGATGACAGGTTTCTGAAGTAATTAGATTAGAGTTTCCTAAAATAGCGTAAATGAAGGCTATTTCTTGCAATTTGCAGTTATTATTACTACTAGTATAATGCACGTACTTTGCACGTGGATATTTTTATTTAATATAATGTTATTTAGTAAAGCATATATAAACATTTTACAAAGTTATTTTATTGCACTATGATTAAAAAATTGAAGTTATACTATTATTAACATACATTTAATAGTTATTTAAATTTGCTGATTATTTTGTTATTAAACAATTTATTTAAGAGTATAATTATTAAATGATAATGTAATCATTAGTTTAAGTAACACTATTGAAATAATTTTTATTACTAAGACGATATTGTAATATTAAAAAAGATAATATTCCTTACAATATAAAGAATCAATCCTTATTTATACTGTTATTAATAATTATAATTAAGTATGATAATTTATTAAATAAATAATTTACTATTTCACTACAATTAATAATTATTTATGATGAGTTATAATATATTTATTAATTTTATTATTGTTATAAATTAGTAATATATTCTAGTGAATGACCAAATGATTTGGAAAAAATGAGAGAAAAGTATATGTCTCATAAATTTGTATATGTCTCATAAATTTCAAGGACCCAAATATTTTTATATAAATTAATTTTCTAAAATAAAAGTATTTTTAATTTATAACGTCCAACTTTTTATTACTAAGATGATATTAGTTATCAAATAATGTGATATTCGTTACAACATAAAGAAATAATCCCTATTTGTAATATTATTAATAATTATAATTATGTATAATAATTTATTAAATGAATATTTTTACTATTTTATATAATTAATAATATTTTATAATAAATTACCATATATTTATGAATTTTGTTATCATTATAAATTATTAATATATTCTAGTGAATGACCAAATAATTTGAGAAATGAAGAGGCGCATAGTTAATGAGAGGTTATGGATTATTAGTTTTATAAATAATGGTATAATTGGGAGTTATAAAAAATTAAGAGGGTGAAAAAGAAAATCAAAAGTTTTGACAAGGGTATTCTCTTTTATAAGTAGTATAGAAGATTATTATTATCATTTTCTTGTAGCATTGGCCAACACTGAAGTTGAGATGGTGGTTTCTTTCAGAAGAAGAAAGAGACCAAATAGAAAAGGACAAATTTTGAAAATCGACCGTTTTTCAAAGTTAATCGGCAAAATCGACCGTTGAAAATTTTTTTTAGCAAAATCGACCCTTTTCTGCACGGGACTGCTAGTCCCGTGCAGAAAAGGGTCGGTTTTGTAATTTTTCAAACTGCACGGGACTGCTAGTCCCGTGCAGTGCGGTTCTGCCCCCCACCCGATCCCAATCCACTTTCTCTCTCCTCCAACAATCCCCTCCTCCGTAAATCTCTTCCCATTCTCCAGACTCACCAACATTTTCCCCTCTTCTCCTCTTCCTCCTCCTCCTCCTCCTCCTCTATCACACCATCATCATCCATCAATTTTTCCATTCTCCAGACCCACCAACAGTCCCCTTCTTGATCTCAAGATTCACATCCTTCAACCAAGCCTTATTACCATTCTCCTCTCCCCCGTTCCCGTCCTCGTCATCCTCCCACCCAAAAGCTCCATCCTTAACCTTAATTGCAACATCATCATCGCCACAATGCTCAGCCCATTGCACGGCGTCATCCTCCAACTCGCCGCTGGTCATGTAACTGTCGAGCCGTTCTAAGGAGATCATGGCTTGGGAGACGGAGATAAGAGCCTGAGGGAAGTTGCGGAGCGGCTCTTGGAGGATCTTGAAGAAGGATGTGGCAGTGAAAACGAGGCCAGCATCGAGGCGGACACCGAGGAGGACGGAGGTGCCGAAGACGATGGTGGAAATCATTACGGGGGCGCTCCAGAGGACGATTATGTTGCCAGAGATGGATGATGATGGTGTGATAGAGGAGGAGGAGGAGGAAGAGGAGAAGAGGTGAAAATGTTGGTGGGTCTGGAGAATGGGAAGAGATTTACGGAGGAGGGGATTGTTGGAGGAGAGAGAAAGTGGATTGGGATCGGGTGGGGGGCAGAACCGCACTGCACGGGACTAGCAGTCCCGTGCAGTTTGAAAAATTGCAAAACCGACCCTTTTCTGCACGGGACTAGCAGTCCCGTGCAGAAAAGGGTCGATTTTGCTAAAAAAAAATTTCAACGGTCGATTTTGCCGATTAACTTTGAAAAACGGTCGATTTTTAAAATTTGTCCAATAGAAAACAAAAGACAGCCGCTAGAAACATGCAGAAACACGGTGAATATGTTCTCATTCTGATAACTCAAATCTCTTCTTTTATTCAAGTCAAGACTCAAATCTCTTCATTTATTCAAGTCAAGACAACGACAGGGAAGAAAGAAAAATGATCATACTAAGCATAAAGTAGCTGGTCTTTGCCTCTGTTTAAAATTTTGTGAGTGCTGCATTCACATCTCATTACTTCAGGGTTTATAATTCTCAAAACTAATCAGATCACTGATCACACACAGCTCTATATTACTTGCTCAGCATTAAATTTCTTTATCACGTTATAGCTGGCATATTTTACTAATTGATTCATCAGAGGATCAAATCTTGTTTAGGAGCTTCATTTCTTCATCCCTGTAGCTGATAATATTAATTTATGCATTGCAAATGCTTTTTTTATGATCGAAGAACAACTAACTCGTTTACTCTTACCTAATCAGAGTTGACCGTTTCTAATAAGATAAAGCTCACGAACATGCACGTTTTATTATTAGATTCATTTGACTATGATCGTTGAAGAATAAGTGATGCATGTGGTAATAAAATAGAGAAAAGAGCAGGAAAATGGAAGGTAAAAAAAAAAGTTTTCTTCCATGTTTCTAGATTGACAGGAAAACTTTGCATGCATGACCTCATTCAAGAAATTTTCGAGACGAAAATTCACAAGAGGTGGGGGGAAAAAAACAATCCTCTTTTTCACTATTTACGATCCAATATAGTGAAATTTTTGAATATTTAAAGTTCATTTTATAAGATATATGGGCATATATACGCAAACATAAATTAGAAGCACATGCTTAGCATAAAGAGAACAGATAATGAAGGTGAAGCTAAAAGATCAGCATCAGCAAAGAGCAGCACAAATCCAGCTTGATGAAAAAGAAAACCATTATCACTTGACCAGAAGAGAAGAAAATCAATCCACAACTGTTATTGTACTGAAGTTTCTACATGATAGCTGATCGATCCTACAAGACATTAACAAACACAATACTACTTCAAGAAAAACATTTGGTCCTCTCATCACTTGAATCGATCAAGAAGCCATTCTTGAATCAAGAAGTGAAATCGATGTCATCTTCCATCTCACGAACTGCTTGAAGAGGACCACTTCCAGAGTGAAAACCGCTTTCAGATGTGGTCGAAGGCCAATTTCCAAAGAGGCATACTTGTGGTTCGATTCTGTTCATCCTGTTCAACTCTTCGTCGGAGAGAGACCAGTTGAAGATATCGATGTTTTTGAGGATTCTTTCAGGCTTCAGACTGCAGGGGAGAACACTAGTTCCTCGTTGTAGACCCCATCGCAAAATTACCTGTTGTATTTACAAGTACAAGAAAGGAGTGATAAATTGTACTGCATTAAGGAGTGCAGGTGTTTCTGCATATAAAGAAAAGCAAAAAAGTGGGGAAAAAAATGTGTCAATACAGATTAGCGCAATACAAGATTACATGCCACATGTATTTTACTAAACCATGTAGTTTCATGCTTCTAAACAACCAGTAAGCATGTAAAGATCCCAACCTTTGTGATCTCAATACATGAAAGCAAATTTATGAACCAAGTGTGTGGGTTGAAAATAATTGATCAAAAGGAGAAGAAGAAAAGAGAAAAGAAGAAAAGGAGCTTCAAGCATATGGAACGAGAAACAGACGCCTAGTTTTCTATTGAGTTTCCCCTCTCTTCAGAGCGTTACAAAGACGCTGTTTATTGACCTAATTTTCTCTTAATGCCGTATAATCAGGTACTGCTGAAACAACAGAAAAATCTTCACAATTAGCCCGATTATCAGTAAGAAACACCTCGAAAGAACAAATTGACAGTGAACAACCTTCTAGGAATCGCCTTGATTAATGATCTAGAACCCTCTAAAATGATATTAACCAGATGAAGTGCAAGAAACCAACAATGGGAGATGACAAGGCATCTAATTGCCTTGGCCATGTCAACAGAAAAGTGCCACCTGAATTCAACCTTGTTAAAAGAACGAAGTCGTTGTTTTGTGACCTCCAATGCTAGGACCATCAATGATGAAAGCTCAATAATCTTTGGTAGTACAAGAGGAAGATACGAATCTAAAGCCCCTAACGAACCACAATGATCAGTAGCTATTAGTGAGAAGTTACTTCGGAACACACAAACAAGGATCAGCACATACCATTCCTTAAGGGTGGGAAATCTTTTAAAACTTTTGCGTTCTCTCATGCAATAAATCTGGCATACACTTGTTACGTTGAATGTTTTAATTTGATGTGATTTCTCGACAGTAAATGGGTGACCTTTTTACTTTTCTTCTCTAGGAGAGATCCAGGATAATCTTACTGAGAACTGCCTTATTGTCTATAGTTATACATTGAAAGGATGGATGAGATTTAGCTATATCAACAGCCAAGTAAAAAAAAACAATTAGCATCCACCATCCCAAGCAACAAAAACTTCTAGAAGGTTAAATTTTAAAACGCGGGCATGAGGTCGGGCATGAGGATATTCATGATGCAGAGTAGTATATAGCTCTCATCATTCAGGACGCAAAATAAACATTATTTAGCGGTGTGATGAAATATGAAGGCGAAGAAAAAAAAATTCTATACAGCTTGTCTTAAAGTAATGAATGCTTTCTGATTCAAGCGATGATTTTATATGAAATATTTATTGTATTTTAAATTTTTGATACATCAATCCTAAGCTTCGCATTCAATGACACCACTACTCATCTTCAGGATAATGTATTTTTCAAAAGAAGGTCAAATACAATAAATATTAGTATACATCAATAAGAGATATCCAGACTCCAAAATCAAAGAATTAGCTGCATTAACCAGATGTGCAAGAAACTCTTGTCAAAGAGTATCATCATGTTATCTTCTTCACATAATCAAATACATTTATTTCCGACATTCTCCATATAGGTAAATCTACTATATCTCAGCTCAAATCCAATACATTTTTTAACGTTCCTATCTAAAAGCCCAAATTTTTCAATAACGAAGTCATTATATTTCTGTTATCAAATGTTTCGAAGGACATCAATTTCTTTTGCAGTTAATTATGTTTCTTTCTAGCTTAACCTACATAGGTCAAAGCATCCTGATGCCTTTCGATTCCTTAGGTATATTGTATGTATATTTAAGCCAGACATTGCGGCATGCTTCATGGCTGTTCCTTATTTTCATTGTATGAAACTTTGGCAGTAGATGAACACAGAACAATTCCATGATCTTCACATAAGCTATAGCATAACTTATTTTCAATTTAAACCCAGGATCAAGATCTTTGATGACTGGTAGTTTAGTTGACCAAGTACTTTGGAACCAAAACTTACCATTAACATAAGATATAGCATAACTTACATTCAATTTGCCTTAATGTTTCTTATCATCTTTAAACTCAGGAACAAGATCTTTAATGGTTGATAGTTAAGTTGACCAAGTACTTTGGAACCAAAACTTGCCATTAACATCTGTGTCTTAATAGGTCTGCTATTCAATATTCCTATCATGTGAACAAGTTTAAGCATACAGCGTCATTACATGGTTCAGCACCAAAATCTGGCGAAGTTGATTCAACAAAACCTTTCCCTCATTTCTATGCGGGGAAATCCTACTTTTGCCAAACTATGGTATTACAAGGTCTGATCTATAAAAATCCCCATCAATTTAGCTCATTGCCATTAGCCTCATTACCTGTCAATAGACTAAAGCTTTTATAATTTATTTTCTCCAAGATCTATGAGATCCTAGCCATAGCTGCACACCTGAAGATGACAGCTAAATCCTGAAGAGAATACCATTAAGGAGAGTCCAAAAGGATTTGAACAGTAAAGAGTGGAATTGTGAACAAAAATTTTGATTAATGAGAATCCCTATCGGCTCAATCCAATGGCAAGTTCAAAGCAGCCCTTGTTTCATTTTAGGGTGCAGGATCCTAAACCTCGTACACCTAAGAGTGCAAGACATCTGTTATAGCCATCGAATTCTAACCCACTTTTCGATTCAAACTGATGCTTACAAATTTGAAAGGAACCCGGATAAATCAAATACCAATCATGTATAATATTCAGTTGAACACTGGAGCAAGTGTTGACATGTTAGTAATAGATAGGGTGTTATTTGTAAGTTGTGTAGTAAGGGCCTATATAAGCCCATCTTATGGAGTAATAAAGTTAGGGTTTTCTCTCTATTTTTAATTATGGTAATCAGAGCACCACAACCTATGCCGCCGCCCCCCCCTTCTCGCCTTCACCCGCTGCGCCCCTCCCCCCCCCTTTTTTCTCCTCGTCCGGCCCCTCACTCCACGCAGTTCGTTTCCGATCATCAAGACATAAGACCCCCGACTGACCCCACCTGTTCGATCATTCCAGAACCCCCGCCCTTAACCCTTCCTGTGTCCGCGATCATCCAGAACCCCCCCCCGACCTCCTCCGACGCCCTCTCTGTCGTCAAAGACCCCCCTGCCGCTCCACTCCACACATCAACAGGCCCCACCGATCGAGCCTGATCTCCACCATCCAACAGCCCCACCTGGAGCGACCTCAGACCCAGACTGACCGACCCCAGAACCCCCCTGACCTCATTGCAAACCCATTTTCTAGCCGCTGCCATCAAGCCGCACACTCCTTGCTGCGCATGTCGGAGCCTAGAGTTTGGCTATTGGTTCCCTTGACTTCAGTCTCCGGATGATGATTCAGGAGAGTATAATATCTACATCGATGGATATATTTAACTTGGTTGGTTCTTGTTTCCTCTGAGTAAGAGAAGTTTGTTGAGATCTACTCTTGTTGTGCAGAGAGGTGCCTGCCGAATGTTACTCAGTACATAACCAAGCGGTCGGAGTAGAAGGTGAATCAGGTGTGGGTTAAGCTATTCGATGGAAGGAGATCATCAAGAGTTAACCCGCGGAGGTGTCAACTTTGATGAAGCTAATGAAGTTGTCGGCTGGTGAGAGTGCGACAAAACCATCGAAGAAGTTGGAGCTTCCGACCATCGATCTGAAGCTGGATGGACCTAGTACGTACCTGAGCTGGTCACGGCGGGTGAGATATACCCTTGCAGGGCGAAATCTGGAGGATTATCTGACAGGCGAGGTGACAGAGCCAGAGGAGGACTCAGAGGGAAGAGATGAGTGGAAGTCCACTCATATGTTGGTGTACATATGGCTTCTCAATTCATTGGTCCCGACGATCGCAGCCACAGTGGATGGCATTGAGAAGGTGAAGGACGTCTGGGAGAAGTTGAGGAGGACATATGACGGAGTCGGGAATAACCTGAGGGTATTCCAGATTAAAGGGGAGGTCGACGCCACAGTCCAGGGAGAGAGGACTGTACAGGAATATGCTACAGAATTGGAGCGTCTGTGGCTGGATTATGATCATTTTTCCCCTCGGGCTAGCTGCAAGGACCCGGGGTGTAAAGAACGGGAGGCCTTTCTACAGGAGAGGACTATGGTGTTTCTCAAGGGATTGACATCAGAGTTCGCTCAGCGAATCGCATTGCTACTAGCTCAGCCGAAGATTCCCACACTTGAGGAGGCTGTCTCTGCTATGATCCAGGAGGAGACTCGCATTCGGCTGCAGGCAGGGACAGGTGGACTTCCTGTGGTGAAGTCAGCAATGGCAGCCTCTAGCAACACTGGATCTAGGGGAGAGACTCGACAGTGCTACAACTGCGGCACGGTGGGTCATCTAAGGCATGCTTGCACCAAGCCACCCAAGGAAGGAGATTCGGGTGGACGTGTACAGTTCGGAGGTCGTGGTCGTGGCCGTGGGGGTCGACGAGGTGAAAGAGGAGCAGGGAATCGGGCGAATATGATGGTAGCAGAGGAAGGGGAAGCAACTGAGATGGTCTTTACTGAGGAGGACCATATGCTCCTGGAGATTCTTCGAAGGAAGCAGAGAGTAGCAGGAGATGGAGACAGAAGAAGTGGAACTGAGGAGACATCCAAAGGCAACTCTGCTACTTATGCTCATCCGATCAAATGTACGGATGACATACATGCTCTTGCTTCTATGTCTCCCAATAGACCATCAGAATGGATTGTCGACTCCGGTGCATCTCGACATGTGACGGGCAACGCTAGTGAGTTTTCGTCATACACTCACCTAGCATCAGCAGATAGCATCCAAACAGCTGATGGTACATTTCAGCCTGTGGTTGGTAAGGGTACTGTTAATTGTACAGGTTCTGTAACTCTGTCCAATGTTTTGCATGCTCCTTCCTTTCCAGTAAATCTTTTGTCCATTAGTGCTATTATCCTCCAACTAAAATGTATCGTTTCTTTTGACATTCCCAAGGTGATCTTCCAGGAGAAAGGGACAGG